AGAGAGAAAGCGAAGGGGGGAAGGGGGGGAATAAGAGACAAAAAAAAAAAAATGAAGGAGTAAGTGGTTTAATTCGGTACTTTCTTTTTATTGATATGCATTAAAAATTGAAATTGAATGTCTTCGTATTGAATGTAAAACGAAAGAAGAAGAAGAAGAGTAGAATACACAAAGGAAAGATAAAGAAGAATTACCGAGAAAAGAACGTAAATGATGAAGTTGACGGGTGGGAAATACCGAATGTAAAAAAACGCGTAACTCCATTCATGCCAATCGGGACAGGATCCTTCTAAAAAGAGAAACCATTAACGAAGAAAAAGAAAGGAAAAGAAGTAAATAAAAATGAATTTAATTTTTACATGAACCAAAGTGTTCCTTTCTCTTTTTTTCATTCAAAAGTTAGAGTCGTTTCTCATTAGAAAATGAATAAAACGATGAAGAACGAAATCCAAAAAAGAGAGAGAGAGAGAGAGAGAGCGATGTAAATGTGTTTCTTTGAACTCAATCCATCCATAAACGATTTCCATGACCTAACTCAACCGTTTTCTTTTTTCTTTTTTTCTTTTTAATTTAAATTTAAATACCTTCATCCCATTGTTCCCAACAGCATTTCTTTTTGCTTAAATAAAAAAAGGAAGCACACCTTCCTAATTTTAAATCGTATAACCATTCAAACACCACGTCAGCCCAAGCAACACAGACTCCTATCAGAAACCCAATGACCATCACCGATCCCCATGCTTGTAACAAGGTTAAATTCAATCCCCAATAATGGAAAGAGCGCTGTGCCGACGAAGTACCTTGATGCCAATCAAACGTAGAAAATTCTTCGTAAGCACGAGACGAACCTACCCCTTCTTCGTCGTGTAGTTCTGAAGGAGGTAAAGTGGACGTGTCCATGAAATGGAACTTGGTGGTGGTCGTTGACGTGAGGGGCGTCGTAGATGAAGAAGAAGGATAGGTTAAATCGGGGTTCAGGTTCACGTTGAGGTTCATGATAGATAAAGCCGAGGAAGGAAGGTGGGGGGTGGTCGTAGTAGGGGTGTGGGTAGTTGAGGAAGGAGTGAATGGAGTGAGTTGAATGGAGGAACCGGAATGAATTGGTGAACGACGAATTGAAACTTGACTCGAAGAAGGGTTGAAAGGATTAGGAGAGGAAGGTGACATGGTTGACGAAAGTCCATGGATTGGAACTCTGAACGGAAAAGTAAAAAGCAAAAGTTTTTCAGAAGTAAAAAACGTTAAAAAAAAAAAAAAAAAAAAAAAAAAATTAAGCAAAAAAGTCTTAAAATTTTTAATTTACTCTTTTTTTAAAAAAAAATTCTGAAATTGTGTGAAATGAGGGAGGTGCTCTCTTTTCTTTCTTCTTTCTTCTTCTTGGTTATCGTTTAAACTTGAAGAAAAAAGGGATCCGATCCAGTTCTTCCTTTTTTTTTTTTTTTTTTTTTTTTTTTAAATCACCTTCAATTAACTCAAACCATTCATTCTCACTTCGAATCATTAATTAATTCATTAAAATACAATCGAGAGAGTCTTGGATTGATTCATATCTCTCATGTCCTCTTCTTCTTCTTCTTCTTCTTCGTGGTTAACTACTTCTTGGAAATCTACCTCTTTCAGCACTTCTCAACAGACAAGTCTTCAAAAAATTCATGAAGTTTATCTTCAATCTCTTCTTCACTTGATTTCTTTACCTTACTTTGATCAACATCCAAACTTGGTACTTCAATCCATCTTGACCTTGGACTTGGATACTTCCTCTTCTCCTTACCATGATCGTGTTTTGTTACTTTCGGAACCATTGTACTTCGAAACATTCACTTCGTTACAATTGACCATGCTGATGATCATCATTTTATTGAAAAAGAAACATTGGTTTCGATTCATTTGTACTTCTTTACATCCCTTTTTTACGACAACGTTGTACCCACTTCATTCTTGCTTCACTCACCATGGTTGGCATCTACTTCATTTTACTTGCCTTCAAGCTACTTGGACTCAGGATTTGGAATGGGTGAAACTTGAAATCGAATACCTTCAACGAAAGCATCTTTCTACAACAAAAAATACTATCAAGGGGGTCAATGCTTGTTTGAATTTCCACTTTCTTTCCTTTTTACTGCTTTTGGATCATCAAGATTTGATTTCCTTTTTCAATTCCCTTCAACCTTTACCTACATGGTCATTAGAACACCCTACTTCAAATTCTTTTATGAATTCCTTTCATCCTTCTCCATTACTACCTTCGTCGACTTCTTCTTCTTCTTCAAGAAACATTCCTTTTTGGTTTGACTTAATGAACAGCCTACAGTCGGTATCCATGCTCTCTTTTTTATTTCAACTTCATTCTACTTGGTTTTTAAAACAGTGTCAAGAGTACCCTACGTCTTACTTCATCTTTTTAACCAAACCCAATGCTTTGGAATTCTGTCAATGGTATCAAACACACATCACTTCTACTTTTCCTTCTACTTTTGATCCCTTTTACTTTTTAAAAAAATGGATGGAACATCAACCTTCTTTTTGTATTACTAAATCGACGATCGATGCATTCAAATTTATTCTTGATCACCATGCATTCACGTCAACCCCTTCTTCTACGACTTCTACTTCGAAAACCACCGAACGTTTACCTATTCCTCCCTCTTTAGCGGAAGAGCTCTTGAAAAGGGATATTTCTACTTGGATACTCTCGGGTCAAAACTGGTCTGGGTACTTTGAATCTTTACATCAACAACTTCAGCATGAAATCCATGTTCGATCGTCTACTCCCATTCACTTTTTTTCGAACGAGAATGTGGTATTGGAAGAGACCGAATCCTTTCATGCCATCGAAAGTATTCAAAACTTTGGATTCAGTCGTTCCTTCAAGAGCGTGAAAGAAAGAAGTATTGTTTTTCTTTCCTTTCTTTTCTTTTTTGGGGGTTAGATCACCCATATACATATTTATATACACAATACCTGGATGACTATTCTAGTCATTTGTCTTATTTTTTTTTATTTTTTTTTTTTTAATTCATGGATTGATTCATCTGTCTTTTTCGTTTTCTCTATGCTAAAACTAGCCCCACCTCTTGATTCTCGTACCAAGGCTTCTCCACTTTCACTTCCACAACCTCTTTCACCACCCCTTTTACCACCGACCCCGTTATCTACACACCCCACTCCCCTCGACCCCATCACTCCCTTGACTCTGTTTGTGTGTACCTATCCATCGTGTACGTACCAAATCTCTTCTCCAACAGAACTTCATCACCATTTTTTAAGTCACTTTCCACCCTCCACCTGTTCTTCGTTGCCTTGTGCCACCCAGACGACCACTCCCACGCTGGCCTCGAGCTTCCCCATGACGAACTGTCTGTTTCCTCATTGTCCGTTCCCCACCACCCCACATTCCATCGACATGGTGCATTTCTTTTTAACGTGTCAATCGTGTTTCATGATCACGCCTTCCTTTAAATTTCTTCATCAACATACTTTACTTCATCATGGAGGACCCTCGGCTTGGCTTCATTTACAACCGTTATGGCAATTAAAACTGCCTTACGTCTGTCATGAATGCATGGAACCTTTTCGATCGTCGTTTGAGGTGTTAAAACATCATCGACAAATGCATGGAGACAAAAAATAAAAAATTGAAATGAAAAATTGAAATCGTCAGCTTTTTCTTCCATTGTTGAACGGGGGAAAGAGAGAAAACATAGACATGGAAAAGTAGATCGTCATAGAACAGGGAGTGGAAGCGAATAGAAGTTCAAATAAGATTAGATCGAAATAGAAGTACATGGAAGACAAGGAGTATCCTCGAAAATGAGAAAGAAAAAAAAAAAAAATAATACTAATAATTCACTTTGAAAAGAAGGATCAATGACAGACGATGCGTTCAAACGATTGACGTGTATCTATTGCTTTATTTTTATACATTGCAAAAAGATCTCTTTTATTATTATTTTTATTTTTTTTATTTTTTCTTCTAAGGTAGGGGAAAGCGGGGTCTATGCCAACACTTCCCTGAACAGAGGACGCACCATCGTCATCTTCATTCAATATGAATAAAGTCCATTTGTGTCCATGAACTCTCTTCGTGGTTGTAGAGTTCCCTATCTACATAAAAAGTCGTACTACATGCATCCATAGACCCTGCCTCGACCATGGAATAAAGTCCTTTTTTTTTTTTTTAGATTCATGGTGCCTTAAAAAGGATGTGTCTCTGTCATTCTTCAAAGAAAAAAAAAAAAGAAAAAGTAAAAAAAAAAAAAAAAAAAGTAACGAAAAATAAAAAGTAGACTTCACAACGACAAACAAAAAGGTAGGTATGATGAGAAAAACCTCAACCTTCGGCTCATCCAACTTTAATGGTTCGAAGCCTTATTTCGTTACAAACGATTTGAAAATGAAAAAAAATAAAATAAAGGGGAACCCTTCTCCTTTTCCTCCCTCCTTCCTCCCTTTTTTTTTTTTTATTTTTTCCTTCCAACTATTGATGACGAGAGAACTGTTACCCTTACCTAAATCATATGACACACACCACCTTTTACTTATCACTTTCATTTCGGATATAAAAAAATTGGAAGACACTTAGTGAGTACAAGGAGGAAGGAACTGTGATCGAAGTTGGGTGCCCACCCTCTACTTTAAGAATCCATCTTCAAAACAAAAAACAAAGTAAAAAGGAAGGAGTAAAGAAACAATCATCTAGAGAGAAAGAGAAAAATTCCAGTTGAAAATTTTTATCATGAAAGTGAATAAACTCTAAACAAAAACATTCATCCTTTCCAAATCCAAACATTTGTTTACATTTATGAGTTGTTTACTCTTTCCTTCCTCCATCGGGTCCCATAGCTCAGTTGGTTAGAGCGTGGTGCTAATAACGCCAAGGTCGTCGGTTCGACCCCGACTGGGACCATTAGTTTTTTTTTTTATTTTTAAGCCAATCTGCTTAGTTTTGATATTATTAGTATTATTTCTTTTTTTTTTTTTGGTATAAACGTAATAATTTTTTTTTTTTTAAATCTTTTTTGAATATTTCTCTCTAATTTTCCTTTTTAATTTTTAATAACTAATTTTTTGTATTTTTGTGTTTTTTAAAAAAAGATTTCATAGGCTTGAAAAAGTTGATTTTCTAAAATTAAAAAGAAAAGATAAAGTAGGAAGTTAAATATTGGGTTGTTTTTATTTTTGAAATACGGTAGTGCTATCCATTCTTTAAGTATTGAAATTCCAAGTTTCTAAATATACAGTCTCATTAAAAATGCTTAGTGAACTCTTTCGTTTTGAGAATAGGAATAGAAGTCTCCATTTTAACAGTTGGAATAAGAATAATTAGTCGTTTTAGCTACTTTTCATATTCCTAGAAGATGCTTGAAAAGACAAGAAGGGTATAAGGAACTTCTCGTTTTTCAACAATGTACTTGCAATGGATAGAGTTTGGAAGAAGAAAAAGGGAAACTCAATTTTCAAAAATGTACCTTAGCAAGAAAAAGACGAAGAATAGTAAGGAAAAAGAGAGTACAGGATTATACATCGAGTAAAGTAAGAAAAAGCCGAGAAAAGGATAACATTCAAGTTTTGGAAGTTGAGTATTTGGAAACCATAGATTTGGACACTAAAAGATGTTTTTAAGTGTTTCAAAAGAAAATGAATGTAATATATTCACCATCATCATTACAAAAAAATGCAAAGCATTAGGTTTAATGTGTTTCTTTCATAAAAAGTGTATTTGTTCCATCCATTTAGCAAAAACAATGAAAATAGAAAGACAGGAGTAAAAAAAAAAAAAAATTCGTACCACAACAATTTTTTTTCCTACAACCCGAATGGACACTAATCCTAATGGTACAAGGAAAGATTTCTATAAAAAAAAAAAAAAAAAAAAAAGGTCAGGACTTCCTGTTAACTTATAAGCAAAATACTGAAATAGCGTACCATTTGCTTTGGAATGGTTTCGATCTTTTCTTTAAGCCTTGTACTCATCTTATGAAAGAACTAGAAAAATAAAAAATAAAAGAAAAGCTTAGTCACGCAAGAAAGAATACCACTATCTAAAAACAATAAGGTAGGACGATATAAGACCAAGAAAAAGACTTGAGCAGGAAAGAGAAGTGTCATACCTGAACATGGCATTCGATTTCATAGGGTAAAAAAAGTAACCGATACTCGAGGAAAGGGTGCTAAACGAACGAAAGACGATGGGAAGAACAAAAAAAAATTGAATGATGAGTAAAAAATAGATATAAAGGAAAGAAAAAAAAAGGAAAAAAAAAAAATGAATAACACGGTTTAAAAATCGACACGTACTAAATGAAAAATAAAGACTTTTAACGCAACGAAACATTTGCTACTTTCATTATCGATAAACTAAACGATGAAAAATAGAGTTAAAATCCAATGATAGTTGAAGGTAAATAAAGAAAAAATACTAATAATATCAAAACTAAGCAGATTGGCT